TCGATTGACCAGGTTTCATGAAGCTGTAGTGAATAATAACAAGTGCTGGACCACCAAACAGACACCATTGGCCTTTTTTTGATGAATATTTGGTTTTGGACTCTGTTTTGGTACTTCATCTTTATCCAACCATTGTGCTGAACATTTGTGATTGTCAAAAAGAATCCATTTTCATCGCATGTAACAATATGGTGTAGAAATGCTTCGCCTTTATGTTTTTACAGCACAGAAAGGCAAGCTTTGAGACAATTTCTCTTCTGGTGCTCATTTAAAGCATGCAGAAGCCATCTATCCAGCTTCGTTACCTTACCAATTTGTTTCAAATGGTTCAGTATTGTTGGAATAGTAATGTCAAACCTTGCTGCTAATTCACGTGTATGTGAGATGGATTTGCTTCCATTACAGCTTTCAGTTCATCATTATCCACCTTGGTCTCAGGTTGTCCACATGGCTCATTTTCAAGATTAAGGTCAGAACAAACCTACTCAAACCATTGACAGACTGTGTGTTCGTTAACCACATCCTTCCCAAACATTTCTTTGATATTTCAAGCTGTCTGCACAGTATTGGTTCCACAATGGAACTCATATTCAAAAATAACACAAATTTTTGACTTATCCATGATTTCACAAAAATTGCTCTAAAAAAATGTGAAAGATAATCACAAGCCAAACTGTGCTTTTGAAAGACTGAGGATGTACCTTCACAATAAAAAAACAAGGAGTGTCAAGGTGAAATGTTGGAGATAACAACTGTCAAACTTAGTACTTAAGGAAATTGGACATTCATACTTAATAACCTACTGTGTTTCCCCCAAAATAAGACAGGGTCTTATGTTTATTTTTCCTCAAGAAGACACCCTAGGGCTTATTTTCAGGGCATGTGTTCTTTTTTTTAAGTGCGGTACAACAATCTACATTTATTCAAATAGAGTTAAGTCATCTTCTTCTGGAACATCATCATAACTCTCCAAACCCCGAATTCCATCCTGAATTTCTTGCGACTCTATTTCCTTTAGAACGATTGGCCCCAATCTCTCATGTTGAGCAATAGAGCTCTCATGGGGCAGATGAGAAGGGCTGGTCGTCGTCTTTACCGCTCCACGAGGAAATGCATAAGTTGTGCAGATACGCTGAGTACCCACGCCCATCACTAGGTCTTATTTTCTGGCTAGGGCTTAGATTGTGCAAATGCTTAGAAATCCTGCTAGGGCTTATTTTATGGGTAGGTCTTATTTGGGGGAAAACACGGTAATAATAAGCCCACCAAAGGCATTCCTTATTTCTGTTACAGTGTTTTTGTTCTCTAGCATTTCTTTTTGGTTCTTTAGAATTTCCATCTCTCTCGTTACATTACACATCTGTTCTTGTGTGGTGTCTACTTTATCCTTTAGAGCCATCAGCATATTAATCATAATGTTTTAAATTCCAAGTCTGATAATTCTAATGTCCTTACTTTATCTGAGTCTGGTTTTAATGGCTTGCACTGTCTCTGCATACCGTGTTTTTTTGCCCTTTGGTTTGTCTTGTAATTTTTCTTTGAAAGGTGGACATGGTATATTAATACTAGGTAAAAGAAACTGCAGTAAATAGGCCTTTAATGATGTGGTGGTAAGGTTTGTGGGGGCGAGGAAGCATTCCATAGTCCAAGATTAGGTCTCAGTCTTTTCCTGAGCCTCTGCCTCTGGATTGGGAACTTTGCCAGTACTTCTCAGTCACAGTGCCCATGTTAGGTGGGACAGGATGACTAGAGGGGGCTGGAGTTGAGTATTTCCCTTCTCCCAGGTCAATTAGGCTCTGATACAGCCCCAGCAGGTTAGGCTCTGGTTAAATAGTTTCCCTTGAAGGCAGAATGCTCTGGCATGTTTAAAAATGGTTCCTTTTGCCCTCCCCGCTTTCCCCCTTGCCAGAAGCACAGGGGATGTTTCTCTGAAATTCACTGTGAGGGAGATGGAGGTCTAGGAGATAAAACTCAGAAAGGTATCACTCTCCTAGACCCCCAGGGCTGGGTCCCCTGGAGTATTTATCTGTAAGACTTGTTTACAGCGAGCCTCCAGTAGTTCTCCATGTACATTTCAGGTTTCCCTAGCCTGCACTGGTTCCACACAGGTCTCAGCTCTGGTAAATTGTGACTCTCTGTATTCTGCCTCTCCAATTTGGAGAGCAGTGGTTTGCTCTGTGACCTTACTTCTCTTACAGATCCAAGAAGAGTTGATTTTTCAGTTTGCTGTTCATTGTTAGGATGGAATGGTAATTTCCAGGCTTCTTACACAACAAACTGAAAACCATGAGTCTAATTTTTAGTTTAAAACTAGAGCATATTTATAACTCACAGATTATAAATTTATAGGCAGAAGTGAGGGAGAGAGTAAATAAACCAGAAAACTTTATATTAAATAAAAAATAGGGCCAGGCGCAGTGGCTCACGCCTGTAATTCCAGGACTCTGGGAGGCCTAGGCAAGAGGATCGCTCAATGTCAGGAGTTCAGAACCAGCCTGAGCAAGAGCGAGACCCCGTCTCTACTAAAAATAGAAACAAATTAATTGGCCAACTAAAAATATATAGAAAAAATAGCCGGGCATGGTGGCACATGCCTGTAATCCCAGCTACTCAGGAGGCTGAGGCAGAACGATTGCTTAAGGCCAGGAGTTTGAGGTTGCTGTGAGCGAGGCTGACGCCACAGCACTCTAGCCCGGGCTACAGAGTGAGACTCTGTCTCAAAAAATAAATAAATAAATTACCTTTTCCAAAAATATTAAAATATGGGAGCTTTCAAGTAGTAGAGTCTTGGATGGCTTATTTCCAGCATTGTAGATATGAGCACTGCCAGATCTTGAATAAGAAGATACATGGCAGGCATGGTGACTCATGCCTGTAATCCGGCACTTTGCAGGGCTGAGGCAGGAGGATCACTTAAGGGTAGGAGTTCAGGACTGGCCTGGGCAACATGGCAAGACCCCATCTCTACAAAAAATTTTAAAAATTAGCCAGGCGTGGTGGCATGTGCCTATAGTCCCAGCTACTCAGGAAGCTGAGGTGGGAAGATAACCTGAGCCCAGGAACTGGAGGCTGCTGTGAGTTATGATCGCACCACTGCACTCTAGCCAAGACAACAGAGCAAGATCCTATATCAAGAAAATAAAGATAATGATGATGATACACTTTCTAACTGTAAGTCTTCCATGGACCTTTTTTCTCTCATGCCTTTGAGATTTGAAAACTAATCCCTGACTTGCTGGGTTGAAAGGCAGGAAGGAAAAGACTGGGCTTCTTTCCATCATGATGGAGAATTGAATATTCAGACCTAGTAAGAGCCAAAGTGCCTATTAGATTGTACATTTGTTTTGAGGTTGGCGTGCACTGCTGTTTTAGCACTGTACAAAAGGCTGCGTGGCATCTCCACTTCTAGTTTCTTAGGGAGGCTACAAATGTAGAATGTTTTTCAGTCAAGACATCATTCTGCCTGCACTTGAACTGCTTTGGTTTGCAGTCCTGCTGTATTGTATCTATTGTGGTATGTGAAAATAATGAAGCTTGAAACAGTAAAGACTGCACAACTGACTACACCCGTGTATGTGAGTACATTGGTACTGCAGTGGGATGTTACTGGTATAGAGAGCTTCTAGTGATCACAGCTGTGCTTGAAGTAAATCCATTTCTGCAATGTCATGACCGTGTTAGTGAACAGCACAAAGGTTGAACAGAGAGGGGAGATTCATGTGTGTTCTCTGCTTTCTGACTAAGCTATCACTGCAGCCCATCTTAACGTAACTTGGAAGGCAGACCAGATCGGACCCATGGTGAATTGGTGACCATTCTGGTTTCATTTCAGATGCATTACGTTTTTATCCAGTTGACTACAAATATCAGTTCATTAACTCATTTGTTCATTAATAACCATTTCTCAACATCCTGCTTCCTATATACACTGTCTTGTGTATGAATGTTTTGAATGTGGTAGATGTTTTTGTTTTTTATACAAATTGATAACCAGCTGACATTAATATTCTAGTTTGAGGAAGGGACATGTTACGTATAACCTTAAAATAAAATGTTCATTAAGTTTGCTTTCAAGTTCCCCATGGAAGTCTTGGTAATTATAATGTAGTTTATGTGCCTGTCATCCCAGCTACTCAGGAAGCTGAGGCAGGAGGATTACTTGAGTTCAGGAGTTCAGGGCCAGCCTGGGCAACATAGCAAGACCTTATCTCTAAAAAATAAATAAATAAATGAAATAATGTAGTTTATGCTTTATAAGGAAATTAGCCATTAATACTTTAAAACAATAAGTGCTCTTTTACCTCCACTGAGCCAGCATGTTATAAACTTCATACCCCTTTTGTTCTTTTTAATCCATAGCTTCTCTGTAATAGATTAACGAATGGAGTTAAATAAACACCTTGGTCATTTCTGTGGTAAATGTGCTAATGAGACATATATATAAGCAATGAGTCTATGACAGCTGGTAAAGCTGTCATCTCTAGTTTGTGATCTCTTTGGACTAAGGACTTTTGGCCAAGTACTGCAATTTAGGAAGTCCAGTCACTAAGAAAACTACTCTGGAACACTTGTGTTTTGGTGAATTGGGCTTAGGGATCTGTTTTTTTCTTGTTTGTTAAGGTAGCTGATTGATTTATTTAAAAGATATCCCAATATAATTTGAATTTCTCTGTAATTTGGTCTAAGCATTAATAATTTTAGCAAATCTGAATTTTTTATGCTTTCACTTCCTTCTATTTTAATGAAATTGTGAACTAGACATGAAATGACTTAGAAAGCAGGTAGGGATAAGGAGCTAGGATCATGGTTAATATAAAATTAGATAAAAAGTCAAATAACTGGGCATGGGGCTTGATCATCACTGATAATCAGCTGACAGTAGCATTATTTTATATTTTTTTCTCTACAGTGGCATGCTAGCAAGAGAAGCTTAAGCATTTTGCAGGATATAAACAAAATGCATTTATTTAAACTCTTATTCATATCTTCTCTTTCTGAAGGTGCACTTACAGAGTGCTATGACGAACTGGGGAACAGATACCAGCTTCCAGTCTATTGCTTGGCACCACCAATCAACATGATAGAGGAAAAGAGCGACATAGAGACTCTGGATATTCCTGAGCCACCACCCAATTCTGGATATGAATCTCAGCTCCGTTTGCGCCTTTCTACAGGCAAAGACCTCAAACTTGTGGTTCGTAGCACAGACACGGTTTTCCACATGAAGAGACGGTTACATGCAGCAGAAGGAGTGGAACCGAGTAGTCAGCGGTGGTTCTTCTCTGGCAGACCTCTCACCGACAAAATGAAGTTGGAAGAGCTGAAGATCCCAAAGGACTATGTTGTACAGGTTATAGTGAGCCAACCTTTGCAGAACCCAACACCAGTTGAAAACTGAACTGGTCCTATTGGCTGGATCCCTCTGCTCCTTTTTATTGTGTTGTCATTTCCTACTCTATGGCGTGAAATTTATTTTCACTGCTCTAAATTCCCTATGAATGGATTTAGTTCTGAGGAATTACCAGTGAAAAATTCCATCTGTGATGGAGACCAACAAAAATAATAAAATACAAAGAGCCAGCCTTTGAGACTCATGTAATTACAATTTCTAATTTGAGAAGCAGTTAAGAAATAGATAACCATTTATTTTAAAACTCAACAACTATGTAATGGCTGTGTTTAAATGATTTGGACTGTAAATGGAATGATGCATCCATGAAGAACAGCACCAAGCACCTTTTGAATACAGATTTTTAAAAAATATATCAAATTATATACCCAGAAACCATCCAGAATAGCTATAAAATATAAGCTTTTTTTAAAATAGAAACTGAAAAGAGCAGTATTTGAGGTTTGCTTCTATTCTGGTTTTTTATTCTTAGCTCAATTAATATTTAGCCATAAAGGAGTAGAGACTGGCAAATTGCACTTCAGTGTTGCTCTCCCCATCCCCACATGTTGAACTCCTTATTACATTCACACTAAATTTTGGTGCCTTCCAGCACATTGGGGGCAGGCACCCTTCTGGAACACTAGGCAATAATTTAGTCAATGCAGTCTCTGGTTTTCAATTGATACTCAGTTGAAAAGTCTTTTATCCTCTTACTGCATAGGCATTTTGAAAGGTCTATATAATGAAGCTGTTTTCATATCTAGGCTTAGAAGGTCACTACTATATAATACCTTCGTTGATCTAGCTACTCTGCTTAGAACTTTTCATAGCTAACTATGACTCCAAATGCATAGTTCCTGGGCCGGGGAACACAGGAATCAAGTACAGTTGTTCCCACTACAGGATAATAAAGTAATTGTTCTCTTCTCCTCCACTTTGCAGGAAGAGTGTAAGCAAAAACCATTCTATCTGTGCCTGGGAGAACTGTGCCTATTTTCAATCTTTTAGAGAAAATTTCATCAAAATTTATAAGTGTGAAAGGTTTACTGGCATCACCTAAACATCAGCAGTGAGACCAAATAATGAAACATTGCTTTATAACTTAGTGGTTTCCAGTTCAGTTACCTCTACTGATGGTGGGTGACAATGTCCAGTGAGATAACCTGATTCTTCTGTACTGTGACTGGAATAAAGCTACCAAGGATTTTGTTTAATTTGGAGCCTTTAAAAGGTGGTTCCTTACGTGAGAAGGAGGCTAAGACTTGACCACTGTACTCCTGAGAATCCATGAGGTGGAAAAGTAGAGGCCAGAAGGCACTTACGCTGTCCTCAATTGGGAAATAGCAATCCTCCACACTTGTTTGGATGGGAAACACCGTTATTGATTCTAATGGTGAAATGAAACTGCTAATGAGTTTAAATGTAATGTTTAAAATGGTATTACACTTTACATAGCCTGATTAAATATACCTATAATTGTAACTTACCATGTTTCTGAGAGCTTTAACTATTAATACTTCCCTATTTTTATGCAATCATTTTAAAGATTCTAGCTGTATCCAATTTAGGATTGCTGATGACTGAATCTAAATTCAAGAGAAAACAGCATTAATTCCAAAGGAGAATTTTGTACTTAGAGGTGGAGGTATAAGAATATTTCAGTATGTTGCCCTGTCATCAAAAGGTTTTGTTCATTTGTATGCCACATTGAGTAGCAGCATCTCTCAAAGTTTATCAACTGGAAGAAAGTGTTTAAGCCTGTTTTTCTTAAGGAAAATTGGTGATGTCATCAATATCTATGATTGATAAAAGGTCTTGTTTGTTGAGGATTTGAGCTCTCTTAAGAGTTTATTTTAAAGGAACGTATACTTTGAATAACAATTTCTGGGCATGTTCAACTAACCTAGGTGAGAAATCCATGGTGCTGTTTAATTGTAAATAGATTGATATAAGATTGGACCAATACTTGATGTGTATAATTTTAGTATGTAGGGTTTTTGTGCTTTTTTTAAAAAAAAAAAAGTTCAATTTTCTCTTTGTCTTTGCCTTTATTGTTTTTTTTAATTGTTGTTACTCTCTATATAAGGGTAATCTGCCCCATTCTAATGAAAAGTATGAAGGTTTTTCTCCTTTTTAAAACCTCAGCTCAATAAATAAGTTCATTATCACCAAACTTAGGTTCTCCTATGCCAAATCATACATGATCGTTTATAAATATGCTTCATCTTCTGCATTGAAATCTTGATCTAAAATAGGTTGTTGATTTTTTTCTCTTAAGAATCGTGCTATAAACCAAAACTCATAATTTTTCTGAAGCACTGAGCTCATTTGTTACTCATTTTTGCACGAAAGTGACAGGTTTTGTCAAATATTTAATACTTTTTTTAAAATAGATGATACATGTCTTTGGAATATAATCCAAACATACCAAGGTGAAGAGTCTCCTTTGCACTCCTGCCCCTCATCTCTTATTTCTTCTTCCCGGAGGCAATATCTGTTACCAGTTTTCTGGGTATCTTTAAAGGTTCTCTAGCACAGTGGTTCTCAAATTAAGCATGCATCAGAATCACCTGGAAGGCTTATTAAAACACAGATTGCTAGACCCTTCCATCAGAGGTTCTGAGTCAGTAGGTCTGGGTGAGGCACTATAATTGGCATTTTTAAAAATTCCTCAGTGTGTTTCTCCTGCTGATCTTAGAGGCACTCTAAGAACCACTGTTCTAGTGGATATGACTACATCCACTCCACCCTACTTTTTTTTTTTTTTACTTTGGGAATTTTTTGTTTGTTTGTTTTTATTTCGGCATATTATGGGGGTACAGATTTTAAGGTTTCAATAAATGCTCATTTCCCCCCCTCCCCCCCAAAGTCTGAGTCTCCATCATGACCATCCCCCAGATGGTACACATCTCACTCATTATATATGTATATGCCCACCCCCCTCCCACCTGCCCAATACCCTATTACTGTAGTACCTATGTTCCACCCTACTTTTTCTATACTATTCTGCACCTTTAGTTTTTCTCTAAAATGGTGAATCTCGGCATTCATACACATAGATCTAGATCTGCTTCATTTGTCTTTGTAGCTGCACTGGTATTCCATTGTCTGGGCGTACGATGGTTGCTTCAGACTGTTAATTCTGGACAGCTTGGCTGTTTTTAGTCTTTTGCAACTGTGAACCACGCTGTAGTGAGTTTCCTTTTATATGGATACATCTTTGTGTCTATATACATCTATAGAATGCATTCCTAGAAAGAGCACAGTCTATAGATGTATGTGACTTGCCCTCCAAAGAGATTTTGCCAATTTATACTTGCAATAAGATTATTCTTATTCCCCTATACCCTGACCAACTTTTTGATCTTTGACAATCTTAATAAGTGAAAAACTCTGTCCTGTGGTTTTACTTTGTATTTTTCCTAGGTGAAGTTTAGCATTTTTCTATATATTTTAAGGCCATTTGGGGTTTTTCTTTTTTGTGAATTGTCTATTTAAGTTTGTCTATATTCCTGTTGCATTTTGGTCTTTATCCTAGTGATTGTAACTATTCTTTCTATGTTAAGGAAATTAATCCTTTTCTATAATCTGTTATTTCTTTTGTGGAATTTACCATGTGCAAGTTTTAAGTTTTTCGTGGTCAGATCTATCAATCTCTTGTTTTATGGCTTCTGGGTTTTCTTAACTTCAAAAAGCCTTTCCCACACTGCAATTATCAAAATTTTTCTGTCATGTTTCTAGCATTTCCTTTTTGGTTTCATTGTTATATGGAATTTATCTTGGTGAAAGGAATAGGATATCAGTCCAGATTTATTAATTATTTTTTGAAATAGCTATCCCACTTTTCCCGATACTACTTAACTATATAATTTTGATCTGTCTTTTCCCCATTGATGTAGGAAAAAATCCTTACTTTATGACAGTTTTTAAGACACTCTACTTTTTTTTTTTTTTAATTTTTTTAATAATTTTTCTTTGAGACAGAGTCTCACTCTGTTGCCTGGGTTAGAGTGCCGTGGCGTCAGCCTAGCTCACAGCAACCTCAAACTCCTGGGCTCAAGCAATCCTTCTGCCTCAACCTCCCAAGTAGCTGGGACTACAGGCATGCACCATCATGCCTGGCTAATTTTTTATATATATATTTTTAGTTGACCAATTAATTTGTTTCTATTTTTAGTAGAGACGGGGCCTCGCTCTTGCTCAGGCTGGTTTCTAACTCCTGCCCTCCAGCGATCCACCCACCTTGGCCTCCCAGAGTGCTAGGATTACAGGCATTAGCCACCGCACCTGGCCTCACTCTACTTTTTTAATGGTCTTTTTTTATAAATTGGACAAATTAGCAGATATACATTGTGTCAAACTCCAACTCTCAAAACTACGATTTAATATTTTTACTTATGGAGAAGAGGGGAGAAAAAAAAAAGAACACAGCTGACAACCTCCCTTGCAATAGCCAGTGTCCTGTGATTTCTTTCTGGGTCTCTTGTGATGCCTTTAGCCTCTGATCCCTCTGGTTCTGTAGAGGCTGCTTGGGTGGTTAACTGTCCCATCTCAGCAGGTGTCCCACATCTTGGCCTTTTCTAGTCTTTGGCATGAGGCTTAAGACAATGATAAGACATGAGATCTAAGGACTGATGGAAAATAAATGATTTGATTTTATTTATAGTTAGCTCCCTCTAAAATCCTTCCTCTTTATAGCTCATATAGATTGTGGGAGAACCTGTCTGTGGCCCCGGGCTGGGCTGAAACTGTAGCCGAGAAAGCCCCCTCCATTCAGGCCTGCCGTTTGTCCACCTCTGCAAGTGCCACTCCTTTCTCCCCATTGCTTCGGCCCCTGAACAGACTTCGTTGACCAAGGAACTCTAATGTAACTATGACATAGTAATTACACAGTGTTGGTAGCATCCAAAAACATACCTAAAATGTACATGGGCTAGTAAATTCTACCCTTACACACACAATCCAGTGGATTTAGTCTCTGGAAATAATGACTTAAATTGAAGCATTTATATGCAAACGCATTTTAAAAACTATTGTCGGCCAGGCGGTGGCTCACACCTGTAATCCTAGCACTGTGGGAGGCCAAGGCAGACGGATTGCTCAAGGTCAGGAGTTCGAAACCAGTCTGAGGGAGAGCAAGACCTCGTCTCTACTATAAATAGAAAGAAATTAATTGGCCAACTAATATATATAAAAAAAATTAGCCGGGCATGGTGGTGCATGTCTGTACTCCCAGCTACTCAGGAGGCTGAGGCAGTAGGATTGCTTGAGCCCAGGAGTTTGAGGTTGCTGTGAGCTAGGCTGACACCATGGCACTCACTCTAACCTGGGCAACAAAGTGAGACCCTGTCTCAAAAAAATAAAATAAAATAAAAATAATTATATACAATATAATGTAATTGAGAAAAGTCCTAAAGTGGACATTGATAGATTGTTTTATTTGTTGTACTCCTAGTCTGAAAAGAGTATCAGTTGTGCATTTGCATTTTAGTTTTTACACTGAATTCCAGTTTGGGCCCATCAGAGATAAATGTTCAGTTTCCTGATGCCATTCTAGAATCACTCAGTTTATGAAGATGCTCTTTAAAGTAGGAACATTTTTAAAAATCTGATAATTGGTTCACCTTTGTTGGTCACCCTAAATCCACTAGAGAGGAGTGGGAAACTTAACAATACTTGTTCATTCCTGAAACTTTCATTATTATATGTGTTTTAAAATTAGCCCCAATTTTTTTTATTTCAGCATTTTACCGGGGTGCAAATATTTAGGTTTCATATATTGCCTTTGCCCCACCCAAGTCAGAGCTTCCAAACATGTACATCTCCCAGACGGTGTGTGCCGCACCCATTGGATCTATGTATACACACCCATCCCCCCATCTGCCTAACACCCAATGAATGTTATTATTATATGTGCACTTAAGTGTTGATCAGTTAATACCAATTTGATGGTGAGTACATGTGGTGTTTGTTTTTCCATTCTTGTGATACTTCACTTAGTAGCATGGGTTCCAGCTCTATCTAGGATAATACAAGAGGTGCTGTATCACCATTGTTTTTTGTGGCTGAGTAGAACTCCATGGTATACATATACCACATTTTATTAATCTACTCATGTATTGATGGGCACTTGGGTTGTTTCCACCTCTTTGCAATTGTGAATTGTTATTTAGCCAAAATTGATACCTATTAAACCTATTATCTTTGCCCATCCTTCCTCCCTGCCCCATTCTGAACAATAGTATAATATTTTCCTTGCTTTAACAACCACGTCTGAACAAAACCTAAATGTCATGGTTACCCTTTATATACCTCAGGACCCCCCTGGAAGACAGGAAAGAGAAGCCTTCCTGAGACCTCATTGTAGTTTCTTCTCCCAGAACCACGCCTAGACACTAAGGCTGTCTGGTGGCAAAAGCCACCTAGGCTGCCACAAAGAGGCACAATCCTATACCAAGATGAGTTGAGTGGTAAGGCACTTGGAACTGTGGCTAATCTGTAGCTGCCACTGTCTGGCCAGATTGTCCTAGTCTCAATACTCTGTGTAGGTGTAGTAGTGTCCATACTGTTTGCCAGACGGTAAATTTCACCTTGGAGAATAATTGGAAACTCTTCACCAAATTAGAGAAAGAAAAAGGCACTGTTGTTTTGTGTTTTTTGGTCTTCACAACAATTCCATAAGATAGATACTGTTTATCCCCATGTGGAAAACAGATCAAAGGTCAAGTGACATGAGTTGGGTTTTTTTATTGTTTTTTTGGTAGTTCCATTCAGTTTTTGTGGTACCATTGTGGGTAAGACAAGTTTTAGCTGCTAAACTTACAAGTCATGCTCAAAAGCATGTTATCAATGGGATATGTCCATTAAATATAGAGAGATAGTCATAGTAACTAACATGATTCGTATTATTACAAGTTTAACTTATGAATGACTTTTTTTTTTTTTTGAGACAGTCTCTGTTGCCCAGGCTAGAGTGCTGTGGCGTCAGCCTCGCTCACAGCAACCTCAAACTCCTGGGCTCAAGCAATCCTTCTGCCTCAGCCTGCCGAGTAGCTGGGACTACAGGCATGCGCCACCATGCCCGGCTCATTTTCTCTATATGTTTTTAGTCATCCAGCTAATTTGTTTCTATTTTTAGTAGAGACGGGGTCTCGCTCTTGCTCAGGCTGGTCTTCAACTCCTGACCTTGAGCGATCCACCTGCCTCGGCCTCCCAGATTGCTAGGGTTACAGGCGTGAGCCACCACTCCCAGCCATAAATAACCATTTTATTTTTTTTTTTTAAGGTGAGAACCCGCTTTCAACCTGTTATTGAAGACAACCATTTTGAAAATAACCATTTTAGATAAGCAGTACTGTTGCACATTGACAAAGTGCAATTAGATTTTATTTCTGATGATATTAGGTACTCTGGAGCTCATTGAATGCCTTAAGGTCAGGTGTGCCATGGCCATCCGGAGAGAATCCAGCCATTGATTGTATCCATGTGTCCACTGTATCCATGGCTGGGTACTTTCCAGACAGCCTTGTATTATGTAGCATATCCTTAAGAAATCCTTGGCTGATAGTAAATGAGCTGTATTTCTTTAATCCCCAAGTTTTTCCTCAGAAACTTCTGGTTTGTGAGGAAAAGGAGAAGTGGGAATTAACATTATGCAGAAGGGATTTCTGAACCAATAAAATACCAGCTTAAAACTGAAACAGAATTTGCTAAAACTAGAGTAACTGAGATCCTGGCTGTAAGCATGGGCATCTAATTGACCTTGAATTTGAATCCTGTTCCTACCACTTGTGAGCCATATGTTCTCAGGTAAACTTTTTAATCACTCTAGTCCTCAATTTCCTCATCTGTAAACTGAGGATAATACCTAAATCACAGTTATAGGGATAATGTAATGCATCTAAAGAACTGTCTAAAGCCGGGCGCGGTGGCTCACGCCTGTAACCCTAGCATTCTGGGAGGCCGAGGCGGGCGGATTGCTCAAGGTCAGGAGTTTGAAACCAGCCTGAGCAAGAGCAAGACCCCGTCTCTACTATAAATAGAAAGGATTGAATTGGCCAACTAATATATATATAGAAAAAATTAGCCGGGCATGGTGGCATGTGCCTGTAGTCCCAGCTACTCAGGAGGCTGAGGCAGGAGGATTGCTTGAGCCCAGGAGTCTGAGGTTGCTGTGAGCTAGGCTGACACCACGGCACTCACTCTAGCCTGGGCGACAAAGCGAGACTCTGTCTAAAAAAAAAAAAAAAAAAAAAAAATTGTCTAACTCACAGCAAGCACATAATATATTGTAGTTTTGTCATCATTATTAACATCACAGTACACTCAGATAGGATTCACAAGTCCTGTGCCCAAAAATGTTTAAATTACTCAAGGTATTATACAAAAAATTGTATAAGGGCATTTAATTATTTTACCCTAGATTTCATATAGTTGCTTAAGCACCAAACTCAGTAATTCCGGTTCGAGGAAGAGGATAGCCTCCACATCCTTAAAGGTTGACTTCTGTTATGGTTGGAGGCATTTCACCACTGGCCAATTTGGAATCTCCGGCACCTGGGTGGCCTTAGCCTAAGGATTAGGAGACTAGAAAGAATTCAGAGTACTGGACCACAAGTGATGAGCACCAGGAAAGCCCCACCTAGCTGCAGCACGTGTTGGCAATTATTTGGATACACAGGGCTTACTGAGTAGAACTGATCTGGAAAGCAGCAGTGGAATTGAGATATGTCAAAAAAAGAAGGTGGTTACTTCACATCCCATTTATTGTGAGTTCTGTGTGAGGTCAATAGGTTACTAAAATTCAGAACCTACTGACTGAGGAGGGCTTATTTGGACCCTTCATATATAAAAGTCATGTAAACATACCCACTTTGATGCTCTAAATTTATTTTTAGCCATATTAACAGTTTAATCGTGCCTATTCCAGATTCCGTTTGTTTTCCAAGAGACTCTCTTTGCTCACAGCCACTTGATGTGAAGTTTAGTAGCTGAGACATTTTGTCTTTCTCTCTCTGCTTTCTGCCTCTTCTGGAATTTGTCCATGGAGAAGATAGTATACAGCTTAAATTCCTTGTAATTGAGGCGCTTTTGTTGTGGGAGGGGAAAAAAATATTTCAGGAAGGAACTGATCCTTTGTTTCAGATGATAGCAGGGTTGTATTAATTTCTTATTAAAAACTTAACTTACGAGGCTCAGTAATTAGGATATCATTATGGTCTAAGTGTAGTCTAGTACCCGGGAATAAGTCTGTTGTAGACCGTAAATGAACAAGGGTCGCTTTCTTCTACTATGTCAAGCCCAGACGCTTCAGGCTGGCTCCTAAGTTTCTTTCCCACCCTCCTCCTCCCTCCTAGGTAGCAGCACATTGTCCTCTATTTCTGGAAAGAGGCTGCCATGCATGCTTTTGGGATCTGCACTTACCTGGTCACCTGTGACGTCAAAGTCATGGAAGAGCTCTGTGAGTTCCTGTTTATGGATATTAAAGAGAAATCTGTACGTTTGGAAGGTGGCTTCACCAATTCTCTGCTCCCCATCCATGTCAAGCAGGTCAAAAATGGGCCGAGAGTGGCGATACATAAACAGCTCCTCCAAATGGCTCTATTTTGAGAGAAATAAGTAAGACAGGGACAGGGTTATCAGTGCTCCTTTCTCAACCTGTTTCGTCAAGACTCGTATCTTCAGCAGCCCGTTCCCTAAAACAAAGGCAAAGCACATCCCTGAGCTCAGGGATGCAGAGAATCCCTGAGATCAGCACGTCGTCAGCATCTGTGTGCCAAGGGGGCTTGGGCCACCTGTAGCAGTCGCTGCTGGGCGCACGGTAGCGACTCCGGTGCGTTTCCTTACATTCAGTGAAAGTCTCACGAAGCCGCTGACGATGACCCGGTTCCTCCGGGCCGGGGCCGGGGACCGCAGGCTGGAAGCGCGTGTACGGCGAGCGGGACCAAGGACGGGCACTGCTTGTCTCCGTCCCCCCAGACAATGCTCTGAGCGAAGGACCATGGAGGGAGCGAGGCCTTGGAGATCACCGGTGCTTTTGTGACAGTCACCAACAGCACAGGGAGGCAGGGGGCCGAGAAGGGCCCCACGGGGTGACACCTGTTCTTTCCCAGGGGACCAGCCGCAGGGAGAGGCTGTGGAAAGCTTCCAGGTTACGGGTGGACCATTTGGGAACCCAAATTCTCTCTCTGCCCCCATATTTTCTTCCTCATTGTTAACCCTTTGCACTCGCTTGCTTTTTTTCTCATTATCCACTGGGCGTTACCCACACTCGACATCCGAGTGCGAAGGGCTAACGAAGAAAAGTTTTGAGGCATTCCTAAGCCAGTGCCCGCTTTAGCAAGAGGACGGCAGCAGCCAGGACACCAGCCCGCGCCCCTCCCGCCCGCGCCCCCGGCCCCGCGCGCCCTCCGCCCGCCCCGCCCTCCGCGCCCCCGAGCCCGCGGCCACTCGCGCGCCGCCCGCGCCCTCCGCCCCCGCCCCGCCCTCGGCCCCCGCGCCTCCGCCCCGCCCGCGCCCTCCGCCCCCCGCCCGCGCCCCTCCGCCCGCGCCCCTCCGCCGCCCCGCCCGCGCCCCTCCCGCCCCGCCCGCCGCCCCCTCCGCCCGCCCGCGCCCCTTCCAGGCCCCGCCCCGCGGCCCCTCCGCGCCCTTCGCCCGCGCCCTCCGCGCGCCCTCTCGCCTCCGCCCCCGCGCGCCGCCCGCTCACACCAAGCCGTGCGCCAGCAGCGATGTGGGGGCACACCAGTATGTAGAACTGGTCGAAGCCGATCTCGCCCACGGCGTTCCAGTCCAGCAAGTCAAACACGAGCTTGATCTGTTTGCTTCTCATGTCGGTCACGTGACGGAGGAAGTGAAAGAACAGCACATCTGTTAAGGTGGGGGAGGTGGGTCGTTCTGCAGTGGCCTGGAATGCCGGTCAACTGAATGCGTGTCAGCGGTGGCAATGCATGCTGGAAGCCTGTTGACCCGGGAGGAGTATTGCTGTCCACACCTTCCCCAGTTCCTCGGACCTTAATTGTCCTGGAGCTGTGTGGAAAAGCACTGTGCCCGGGGTTGTGCCAAGTGAGACAGCCGTAGCGCCGGTCGCGCCTCGTGGAGCAGACGGCTGTGCTCACCGCACCGGCCAAGGCAAGGTGGTGACATGCGCAGACACAGTGCCCCTGTGTGTGAAAGGGACAACTTAATTTCCATTAGGGACCTAGGGCACTTCCTTGGAAATGCTGACATTTTTCCTGGGCTAATTTCCCTTGAGCTAATTAAAACGAGAAATAAAAAATCATTCCTCCTCTATAAAAGTCTTAGTATTCCTCGTGCTTTTATAAAGTAAATGCATTTGGCTATAGGAGGAAGGGAACAGAACTTACTGACCACCGTATGCGTTAGGAACTTTAAATGCCATGCCTCACGGAACCCTGACAAACCCGACAGCGAAAGTGCTGTCACATTGTTTTTGTAATAAGCCTCAACTATCATTAGTGCACGTCAGCGCCTCTGCAGCTAACCGCAAACCAGTCCCTAGAAGATCTTGCAAACTGCAGATTCTGACTCACGAAACCTGGCGGGGCTGGGGGTCCGCATTTCTCCAAGCTGCGCCTGCTGGTCTGTGGCCCACACTGGAAGTGACAAAGGTGTGTGCCTCACAGTAAGTGTAGAGCCAGGATTCAGACGTGCGCCTGTCTGCATCCCTGCTCCTTCCACGGTGAAGCCATGTCTTTTGCACATTAGTTGATGGATATTTAATCATAGGCATTCAGAGAAAAAATAATGAAAAATACTCTTTAAAGAACAGGAAGAGGCCGGATGCGGTGGCTCACGCCTGTAATCCTAGCACTCTGGGAGGCTGAGGCGGGCGGATTGCTCAAGGTCAGGAGTCGAAACCAGCTCTGAGCAAGAGCAAGACCCCGTCTCTACTATAAAAAGTAGAAAGAAATTAATTGGCCAACTAATATATATATAAAATTAGCCGGGCATGGTGGCGCATGCCTGTAGTCCCAGCTACTCGGGAGGCTGAGGCAGAAGGATTGCTTGAGCCCAGGAGTTTGAGGTTGCTGTGAGCTAGGCTGACGCCAGGGCACTCACTCTAGCCTGGTCAACAAGCGAGACTCTGTCTCAAAAAAAAAAAAGAACAGGAAGAGGCCGGACGCGGTGGCTCATGCCTGTAATCCCAGCACTCTGGGAGGCCGAGGCGGGAGGTCAAGGAGTTTGAAAGAATCCTGAGCAAGAGTGAGACCCTGTCTCTACTAAAAATAGAAAGAAATTAATTGGCCAACTAATATATAGAGAAAAAGTTGGCCGGGCACGGTGGGGCATGTCTGTAGATCACCTGAAGGATCAGAAGGATCCTCAAATGATCCTGTAGATCAGGAGGATCGCTTGAGCCCAGGAGTTTGAGGTTGCTATGAGCTAGGCTGACGCCACAGCACTCCAGCCTGGGCATCAGAATGAGACTCTGTCTCAAATAAATAAATAATAGGAAAGTTTTTGCCTGCCATTTCTCTCACTAATATGTCCCGGTGAGTAAAAGAGGGGACAAACATGGCTATCCATTTATATAGTAGCATGTGTTGTCGACAGTTGTATATACAAATCCGAGAGGGTCACAAGGAATTTTCTTTTTCTTTTTTTTTTTTTGAGACAGAGTCTCACTTTGTTGCCCAGGCTAGAGTGAGTGCCGTGGCGTCAGCCTAGCTCACAGCAACCTCAGACTCCTGGGCTCAAGCGATCCTCCTGCCTCAGCCTCCCGAGTGGCTGGGACTACAGGCATGCGCCACCATGCACGGCTAATTTTTTCTATATATATTAGTTGGCCAATTAATTTCTTTCTATTTATAGTAGAGATGGGGTCTCACTCTTGCTTAGGCTGGTTCGAACTCTTGACCTTGAGCAATCAGCCCGCCTCGGCCGCCCAGAGAGCTAGGATTACAGGCGTGAGCCACCACGCCCGGCCAGGAATTTTCAAGTATAACTTTGTCTACATGTGATTGCCCCTTGCCCGCTGATTACAGAGACTGTCTCGTGCATAAGAAATGGCTCCACTGAATATGTAAAACATATCTATCTACATGATTTGGATGTGCAGCTGAAACCAGCTAAACGCACAGTGAACCCATGGTCACAACGTCACCATTTGGGGCCTTCGGACAGCCTTTTAATGTTCCTTCTCCGTGCCTCACTGAATATGAGCACCTGGTAACAACACACATTAAATGTACACAGTGATGTCCCCTTGAGAAATGTTTTCAGGTGGGCCTTACTAGCTACGTAATAAAGACTGCTTTGAAACCAGCTGACCCTGGCCCACTCAAGTCTCTAAGGCCTAAGTGACTCCTCCCCCAGGAGGGCAAACATTAAGGCTGTGCCTTCAAACTTCCAGGTCACTATCCAGTCCCTGGGTGACGGAAGACATGAGCATGACTTTACCTCCCGGGTGTTGCATCATAAAGGAGTGATTTCGTTACTGGGGAGATCCGCTCCGCGCGGCAAACATTCCGATGAGACTCGAGTGTGTGGGCTTTGGAGTCGGAAAGCCCCGAGTTTCAATCTCAGCTTTGTATTAATATTTACAGCTAGGGTCCCTGCAGCTGCCTTAGCTGGGGCAGGGCTACTGGGAAGATTTGGTAGTGTGCTGTATGCCAGTCCATATGTAAAGAGGAAAAGAAGGTGTCCTCTTTCTGTTGTTTGTTTTTATAACATTGAATGGACTCTTGAAAAGATCTTTATGGAAGGAACCCCTAATTCACAAATAACATTTCTCTTTCTAAGGTCAGAAGGAATGAATGGATGGGATACTGTTATAGTTTGGGTATTTGACCCCTCCAAATATCGTGTTGAAATTTGGTCCCCAATGTGGGAGGTATTTGAGTCATGGAGTGAATCCCTCGAGGTAAGGAGTGAGTTCTCCATTAGCTCCCACGAGAACTGGTTGTGAAAAGGAGCCTGGCACGTCCCTCCCATCTCTCTCTTCTCTGAGGCCTCAGCAGAAACAGATGCCAACGCCACGCTTCTTGGACAGCCTGCAGACCTGGGCCCGAATAACCTCTTTTCCTTATAAGTTACCCGGCCTCGGGCACTCTTTATGGCAACACGACAGACTAAGACAGATACTTATACCCACTGCTCTCCTACGAAGAGCCTAATTGGTCTTCTATCAGTTTGTGGACTCAAGAGGCAAGGCTGAGATCTCCAGTGTTTTTTAGTCATTCACAAGTACCAAGAATTAGAAAGGATCTTGCAGTTCATTTGATTCAAACTTCCCATTTGACAAGAAGTAAATTCTTGCTGAGGGGTCTTGAGGGTTAAGCCCTGAGTGGGGTTTACCTCCCAGGAATAATAATTATAATACTAACAGTAAGTCTTTACAATGTGCCAGGCACTGTGCTAAGCATTTGCCAAAGTCGTCTCATTAAATTGCCATTTATTCCACCTGTGACATGGACTCCATTAATAGAAGCCTCACCTCTAGATAAGAAAACTGGGACTTTGAGCTGGGCATGGTGGCTCATGCCTGTAATCTTAGCACTCTGGGAGGCTGAGGCGGGAGGAGGATCACTTGATCTCAGGAGTTCGAGACCAGCCTGAGCAAGAGTGAGACCCCCGTCTCTACTAAAAATAGAAAGAAATTAATTGGCCAACTAAAATATATAGAAAAAAATTAGCTGGGCGTGGTGGCGCATGCCTGTAGTCCCAGCTACTCGGGAGGCTGAGGCAGAAGGATCACTCAAGCCCAGGAGTTTGAGGTTGCTGTGAGCTAGGCTGACGCCACGGCACTCACTCTAGCCTGGGCAACAGAGTGAGACTCTGTCTCAAAAAAAAAAAAAAGAAAAGAAAAATGGGACTTAAAGAGGATGATGACATGTTCTCCAAATCACCGAGGAATAATGGGGACAGCCAGGATTTAACCCCAGGGTCTGCAGTTTTTTCCTCCCCACGGAACTGCCACTAGTGTCCACTCTCAGCTGGCAGTTTCTCTCTGTGCTTCATCTAGATGATAGAATAAGACACTCATTAGCTAAATAGTATTGTAATACTATTCTGCAACTTTTCCTGCACGTCAGCTACCAACCAGGTGATGGCCCGGGGGGACATGCCTGCCTCACTGACCATTCAACGTGTTCCTGCCGTGCACGTCGAGAAGGTGGAAATATTCCACCAGGACCTTCACGTTCCTCACAGACAGCAAGCAGTACACCTTGTCCAGGTACAGGTACCACAGAAACGACCCCGTCTTCAGTTTCATCCTGTACTCTTCAAGCCGAAGGCTCCGGCCACCCGAAGTAGAACAGAGAATCCCGCCTCGGAACTAGAACGTTGGATTCTGAGAAGCTGAGAAGATCTGTCAGCAGAAAAGGCAAAAACGTCAG